ATTTTTTTTTTTTTTTTTTTTTGTATCAGGGATTGAAGGGAACCTTGTGCTTGTGAGGCAGGCGCAGAACCACTGAGCTAAATCCCCAAACCCAACTTGGAATTAATTGTTATTTTGTCTTTAATTTTAGTACTTGATTGCATTATTTTTACTTAAAACCTGTCTTGGTTTTCTTAAAATGATACCTAACTTCATAGAGTTGTTGAAAAGTCCTTTGCACAGGAAGCCTGACACATAGTAACCAATAATTAGCTGTTACTATTGTTTTACACTATTGTTATATATTGTGTATATAAACATGCACAATATTTATATACACAATCTATATATTTATATATAGTTATATATACGTCTATATTGTGTATATATGTTGTTTATATATTGTGTGTCTCTACAAGAAGGTAGAATTCTGTAAAGGGTAATAAAGTATATGCCTGTGAAAAAGTCTGATTGGGTTTGTCCACACCCTATCACCACACTTTACTAATATTTCAAAATAATGTTGAGCCAGGGGTGGTGGCACGCACCTATAATCCCAGCACTTTGGGAGGCTGAGGGCAGCCTGAACTACATAGTGAGACCCACCCCAGCCCCCAAAATACACCAAAAAAATCTTGAGGTCAAATTTCTACATCTATAAAGCGGGCAAAATAAAATTGTGCCTTATTGTCACAGTTATGCCAGTGAGATAATCTATGTAAAGTGTTTATGGTAGTATAAATTTCATTTAAGAAATACTAGCTAGTTTTTGGTTTCGGTTTTTTGTTTGTTTGAATTAATAGCATAAGTAAAGATCATATTGTTTTGAAAGGGGTTTAAAAAAAGACAAGGAAAACAAAGGTTTGCTGTCCCCTCAAAATGCCAATTATAAAGGAATAAAGAATTTTACATGGGAAAGCCTGTGTTCATGCAAGGTTCTTCTACTTGCTTGGTTTTTTTTTGTTGTTGTTTTTATATCAGGGATTGAACTCGGGACCTTATTCTTTCAAGGCAGATGTCAGAACCACTGAGCTAAATTCCTGGCCCTTCCAACTTGCTTGTTTAACCTTGGGTGACTCATTTAACCTTTATGCTTCTTATTCTCCCTGTAGAGAATTTATTAGCTCCTAATATCTCACCTTTTATTTGATTTTGTACTTGTAGAATACACAAGTGACAGAAGCCTGGAACAAAGTTGCCCACTCATTTAATTGCACACCAATAGAAGGTGAGACCTTGCTAACAGGGTTGCGGGCCCAACAATGAATAGTTTAGCAGAACTAAAGCTTCTGCTTCTTCATCCTGGCTGTAGTTCAGTCTTAGCCAGAAACCTCAGTGCCCTGTTTCTGTAGCCAGAAACATTGCTTGCGTGGTCAGACTATCTCAGTGGGTGACTTTGGACTTTGGGATCGTGGATAGTTAGTACCATAGTCCTTGTCCTTATCTACAGGTATGTTGTCACATCAGTTGAAGCAGCATGTCATCGATGGAGAGAAAACCATTATCCAGAACCCCACAGACCAGCAGAAGTAGGTGCCAATCCATTCTTCGACCACACCAGTCACCAACTCCTCCCCATACTCCCAACTTAATCACATCTGCCTCTACTCCAGACCTAGGAAGCTATTTATTACTCTTTTTTCTTTCTTTCTTTCTTTTTTTTTAACTGGGGATTGAACTCCTCAGGACCTGTACTGATGAGAAAGACGAAAGAACCACTGAGCTAAATACCCAGCCCCTATTTATTACTCTTAATGGCTCCCTTTTTCTTACCCCTTTTAGGAAGGACCATGAAAAAGCTGAATTTGAGGTACATGAAGTATATGCTGTGGATGTTCTTGTCAGCTCAGGAGAGGGCAAGGTGAGGAAAATAGGAGCTAGCAGGAGGGGTGAAGGAGTGTGTGTTCACCAGACCAAATGTGAACTAATTGACTTTTAGGCCAAGGATGCAGGACAGAGAACCACCATCTACAAACGAGACCCCTCCAAACAATATGGCCTGAAAATGAAAACTTCTCGTGCCTTTTTCAGTGAAGTGGAAAGGCGTTTTGATGCCATGCCATTTACTTTAAGGTACTACACTTAAGAGAACAGGACTTGGAACCAGTTTGACTCAGACTATGCACCTAGGAATGCTTTTCCCTCCCCATAGTCCCTCCCTTCCTCTTCCCTCCTGCCCAGACTTGTAGCTCACACACATGTATGTTCTGCCTTCGTCTGATTGAAGCTAATATAAAAGCAACCCTAAGCATGATTTCAGCCTGAGGGGAGGGGCGATTTAAAAAACATGAGCAAGGGCCGGGGATTTAGCTCAGTGGCATCGCACCTGCCTCGCAAGTGTAAGGTCCTGAGTTCCATCTCCAGTACCAAAAAAAAAAAAAAGAGCAAAATAGTGCTGGGAATATAGCTCAGTGATGGAACACTAGCCTGGCATGCATGCCCTAGGTTTAGTTAGCACCACAAAATTTAAAAATGGGAAATGGTAAGACCTGATGGGGAGTTAAGGATTCCTCTGAGTTTCATCTTTTCTTAATCAGAGCATTTGAAGATGAGAAGAAGGCTCGGATGGGTGTGGTGGAGTGTGCCAAACATGAGCTGCTGCAACCATTTAATGTTCTCTATGAGAAGGAAGGTGAGTTCTGAAGAGAATTCCACATTGGAGCCCTGCTTATGTGGTACCATTCTCCTAATTTTAGAAAAGAGTGAGGTATGACAAAGGACCATTTTATCAAAGCACATCTTCATTTTTCCCCTAGGTGAATTTGTTGCCCAGTTTAAATTTACAGTCCTGCTCATGCCCAATGGCCCCATGCGGATAACCAGTGGTCCCTTTGAGCCTGACCTCTACAAGTCGGAAATGGAGGTTCAGGATGCAGAGCTAAAGGTCAGTGTGCATGGAAGGGGGTGAACATGTAGCATGTGACCTGTGAATGAAAGTCCTGAAAAGAACCGCAGTGCTGAGAGGAGCACTTGTGTTTCTTCCATGTCCCTCAGAATCTGTTTCTTTCTCCTGTTTTCCAGGCTCTCCTCCAGAGTTCTGCAAGTCGGAAAACCCAGAAAAAAAAGAAAAAGAAGGTGTGTTATCACATACTCTTCTGGCAGGGGACCTGACCACTGTTCCACCTTCCTGAGTCATGGCGAGGCATTGATTTTTCTGAATCCTGATCTCATCCCACTAGCTTTGACCCAGAGAATCCAGTTACTTTTTCTTTTGCCTCTAGACACTGTTCCCCAAGAAGTTAGAAACTGACATGTCAGGCTGGATATTTAGCTCAGTGGTACTGCTGCCTGCCTCACAAGTGCAAGGTCCCAAGTTTGATCCCTGGCACCAAAAAAAAAAAAAAAAAAA